TCAAACCAGTGATAACGTTATCAGTCCTCAATAATACACAACTACATTATGTAGTAGTAGTAATATCAGCATAGAAATAATATGCAGCGCCGTTCTATGAGACATAACAGCAGTAAAATTTTTTTAGGCCTAATCGGCGAAATAATTGGGAATAATGAGAGGGTCTTTTGGTTCCTTGAGGGAGGAAAAAAGGTTTGCGCACGTTTGTTCTCTGATCTTTTACTTTCCTGATTAGGCACTCTAGTTCCTTCCAGCGCTTTAGAACTTGATACTCCTCCAATGCAGTAGAGGCGGTCCATGTTTCTAATCATGCCTGCTGCTGGATAGCTAGGCAAGTGGGTGGGGGGGGGGACGGGTAGGGGTAACCTAAGGGGATCTCCGAAAACTGTGTGGGGCAAGTATGACCACAAGTGGTATGTCGTAGAACGGAACTTGAGCTCTAAGTGGTAAATCCTGATGCAATCACCTGCTGACCGAGTACAGGAGTCGGCGGTTTTCGCTTCAGACGCTGGGGTGTCTCAGGGGCCGTGTTTGGCTCGGTCCAGCCCGTTTTTCGCCAATTGTTTCCCTTGCCCGTTTCAGTGATTGCTAAAGAAGGGCTGGGCATTGGACAATTAATTTCTTTCACAATTACACAAAAGCGATACTGAGTTGATTTTCGGGTGACGACACACCAAACAACGTCAGAGCGCTCCCAGGCAAAAGTTGTAGGAAGGGTTGTGATGTTCTAAAATCTCGGATTTCTTGCAGAAATGAAGCTACCTCCTTCGTGCATAACTGAGGAATAATTAAAGAAGCGTCCATACTTCGCGACAAGGATATTTGGAAGCGCCATTCGGAAGTCGGGCGACTGCGAAAAATGACGCTCCTCCGCTAATCGTTGGTCAAGTGCAACTATCAATTCAACCACACTCAGTAGAGAACTCAATTCAACTTTTGCAACGGTCCAACGATTAGCATTGGAGCGTGATCGGTTGCAGCCGCGGATTATGAACGCGGCTTGATCAAGTTGTTTGAAAGGCGATTTTTCGCTTATTCCAAGTTTTTTTTGTGGTACTGCAGAACTGGTATGACCAAGGTTGCAATCACACTGGAATTAATCTCATTGATATGCTTGGCCAACGACTCGTCAATTTTGCTTTCTGTCCAGTTTCAGCCATTCGACATGACACAACCGTGTTCGGCAGCCGATTGTGACAAGACGAAAAATCCTGTCTGCGATTCAAACAACCGGACACATAAAAATTTGTGCCTGTTCAAGTTTTATGCATGCAAGGTTTGGAAATTTGCCAGAATTATTAATGCAGACCCTGTTGCTTTCCGTGCAGACCAGGTCTACTGGATGGGGACCTTCATTGAAGGCCTGATGTTCAAACAGTTCGTATTCTTTTAGAGGCCGGCTATCTCGTCCTTCAGCTTGACGAGATCACTTCTTGTCAGTTTTCCAGGAATGTCAGGCAATCGATAATTTTCCCTATCGGATAAAACTCGTGTGTACGGATGGGGCGGCTAGGGGGTGGTAGAGGAGGGAGGGATAGGGGGAACGTGGCGATCCGTCTATGTCATGTTTGTTCTTTAGCAGTATCTCAGCGGGAGAGTGTCTGACATCAGAAGGGCGGACAAACAGACATGACGTGACTGGGTGCCCACCTCACCACCTTTCCGTTGACACTAAGCTCTAGTGCCGAAGTTCTGACAGGAGCCCACTTGAGCCAAGAAATGTTGAAAAGTAGTTAACAAGTCCAATTCAGGTTCACCGTCATGACGGTCGTATCGTCGAACTCGCCTATGCTGGAGAGTGTAAAGCAGGAGTGAACTTGGTGAGTAGGAAAACTTATATTAATTCATGTGTTTGCGGTTGTTCCGAGAACTCATTCGAATTCATTTGTTGCGGCGTTGAAGTAATCGAGAGGCAAGCAAGATTGGACAAGTACCTACCTACCTCCTACCTACTTACCTGGCTTGGGGATCTCGCGATCAAGAAGGCGGGATCCCCGTGGTGATGCGCCCGAGGGGCAAGCTCCAAGTGAAAGGCGACCGCGACGACTCTTCTCATCTGCTCTGCTCCATTCACCGATGTAGTGACCCTCTTTTTTCCCCAGGGTTAGGCTTAGGCAGCGTCCAGACTTGCTATGATGCCAATCGAGGAGCTGCAAAACGCTACAATTGCAAAAGCGCTCTGAGCGCTGCTAGAGAAAAAAAGGCGCTGCTAAAAAAAGCGCTGCTAGAGAAGCGAACGCAGCAGGAGACGGGAAGCGATCAGGGCCGGCCGCTTATGTATTTAGAGAGTATGGAAGATTAGGAAGTACACCTTAGTTCGCTGCGGACGAAGGGGCGTGTCAGGCAGTATGTGCGCCACGGTGCCAAACCCGTTCTCGCCCAGTTGTTGAGGCGGTTATGACCCATTTACAGAAAACGTGTCATATCAACGATATGATAGAGTTTGGTCACTTGCTCTTTCAACAAGAGATGGAGAACGGGTTTGGCACCGCAACAAACTCATCCCACCAGACACACCCCTTCGTCCGCAGCGAACTACCTATATGTGTTGCCTGATCGCGCAGTCTAGTATCGATAGCCGCTGGCTGCTAGAGTTATGAGAGAATATAGAAGACTTGGGAGAGTACCAGACTGTGTGAAAGCTGCGCTTGTTTTTTTTCTCGAACACTGGATGAATTTGAAATATTGCTGTTGAAGCAAACGAGCTAGAACCGCCATATTTGCTCACAATCTCTTACTCAACGGCCATCCACCATCGAATACCCGCTGTACCCTCAGAGGCGCAGTCCACGCTGGTTGTGTGGGCGTTTACGTGACTGTAAGTTCTCTTTGTGCCCTCCTCGTTGACCGTTCTCTCCTATTTACCGTCCTAGCAGCAAGAAACACCAATATGGAAAGCATAACGCCCACACGTTCATCATGAGCATTACCCCTGCGAAAACCCGTTAAATAACACTACTACTTTTTCTTTGACAGTTTGTGACCTGCGATCCTCTGTTTTGAACTGCCCATTCGAGCTTTCTCCAGAACCGCTGTGCACTCTGAATGGTTCTGACAAGAAATCCTCCTACTGTGAAATGTTCTGGACATATTCTGCAATGTTCAGGTTGAATGTCCCCATTTGTGACAATCAGAACAAGGTTAGGACTGCTGTCGTTGTTTAGTATATTGTTTGTTTCTTTGATAACTGATTTTTTCAGACGCACAATTCGCTGTGTAATTTGGCTCGTTTCAACTGTCAACAACGTGTACATAATGCTACCGAGCGGGTACTGGTTCACATCGGTCAATGTAATCGTCGGTCCTCACGTTTTCCTCTGAGTGGTCGAGTGAAAGCCTTTCCTTATTTGTGTTGAGCTTACTATTACGCAGCATTAATTGCAAATATAAAAATACCGTGGAAAGGCTAGCCATTTGCTGTACAGAAGACATTTCGTAAGTAGAACAAATGAATCTTTTCGCTGTTGTACGATATAGCCGCTTATTTCTCGCAGATGTCTGGACTGTGTGCTCACGAGTGGCTGGGTTTGGCACAGCGCCAGCCCGTACTTCCAACAGCTGTTGAAGAGGACAGGCGACTACAGTTGGCGCAAAACGGGCTGGCTCCGCGCCAAACACAGCCTCTTGACGCACCCCAGCAATGCGCGACACAAGAGACACTATTTTTTTGACGGACATTGAGCGGTTTTGCTGAATTTTCCAGTCAAGCTGAAGGCAAAAGGAGATTGCTGTCGACGAACAGCCAACTGTCGCAATGATCAGAGCCTCTTTGTTTAGTCTGGACTTATGATGAACTTACTGAATTAATGACGACCTGTAACTTTTATGATGGTGATATTTCAGAAGGCAGGAGTGTTCTAAGAACTGTCAGAGGAGAGAAGCCAGTTGTGATGCTCAGGACAACACTCACCGATAATCTTGTGTCACTTTTCAACAAAGCACGAACTGCCTCATTAGAAGGTACTTTCTGAAGAACGTTATTCAAAATTCGAACTTCCAAAATTAAATATAAATTCAGAACCGTTTCTCCATTTTGTAATAGATTAGGCATGGAATCAACGCATATCGCCCTTGTTTCCGTAAGTGATAAATGGATATTTCATCTCGGGGTATTTCATCTATATCGAATGAACTTACTATTGATTAATGGGTAAAACTAACCAATCACCTGTTTAGGCTTGCGTTTCGCATTACTTTGATCCACTATCGCTCTGTGGCGTTCCATTGAAGTTTCGAGCGTCCGGCAGCGTCAGCGACTGGGAAAGTCTAGATATGCGTTTCCCAGCGTTCGCCAACGTCTACCAGCGTCCACCAGCGTCTTTCAGCGTCCGGAAGAGGAGAGTATGGCGCGATATAAAGGTAGCAAACAGCTGGTACACTATGGTGAGATAGGAGGGTGGCAGACTGCTGGTACAGAGCATGGCACGATAGGAGGGTACCAGCTGTCTGTTACCCTTCCCACCGCGTCATACTGTACTCTCCCGAACGCCGAGAAACGCTAGTGCGCGCTGACAGACGCTATATCAAACCTATACTTCCCAGGCTGCGAGGCAGATGGACGCATGGTAGGACACGGGTGCATGCTGGCGGGAAGCTGATAGACATCTCTCGCTTCCCCATTCGCTGATACGAGTTGCGGACGCTGTTATGAACGGCAGCCTAGTATCGCTGCAAATAGGCAAGGCTGTGACAGTAGGCGTGGAATAAACCCATCTGCGGCGTCTTCCACCATTGGTTGCCTTCTAGCTGAACCGTCCACTACTGGAAGAAAATACATCGTCGTGTAGCACACCGCCCGAAACGATCCGTGCTCTTCACTGCCCCAATTTGGGAAACTCCGACTAGAATTTGCTAAAGTTTTTGCGGATAAGGCCTGGGTAGAATTCTGGCGGCTAAGGCAGTCTCACACCCTGAACATGGATTCTGGTCAACTGTTTGCAACAGCGTGTGACGTAAGCGCCACAGCCGTAGGCTTTAAAATAGCTCAAATCACCAAATATACTTCAGACTCGTCCGTGGAAACACTGACTCCTTAAGAACATGCGCGGAAAAGCTTTGTCGCGCTGAGGGAGCAGGCTGCAAAATTGGCCGTAAAGCGGTGCCTGTGGCACGAGCGTCAGACGGTTTTGCTCCGAATGAACAGGATATTCGTCTGTAAGGGGTGAAACCACGCTCGCAGACAAACTTGTGATAGAATTACCACTAGGAAGAACTTTCTATCAAAATCTAGCCTGAGTTCTAAAAAAAGGAATTGTGAAGAGTAAAAAACCCCAAATGGCTGTGTGTTGGTAGAGAGAAACACTTTAAATGATTCTATCTTTCTTCATTAATAGCGAGGACATGCTTAATATAGGTCACTATACTGTGCATCTTTTTTTGAATTTTTTTTATTTTTATTAGTTTGAGCTAAACTTAATTCAGTAATCTGAACATGTTAACCATTCAGCAAGGGCGACCAGCTCCAACGTTATTAGCGTTGAAACCGTGTCCTGGTGCGGTACGCAATTTTTCAAAGGTGAGAAATTTTCTGTTCTTTTGCCGAACATTTACAGAAAAACTTGCCTAGTATAAGTGGAACCAGACCCATGTGGAATCCAGGAAACAATTGGTAAACCCCTCTAGTTGAATTACTCAAAAAAAACAGTTTTTCAGATACCTTCATCGGAATCGACTTCTTCGTCTTCTTGTACGTTCTACTTTCTAATTTTGACCAAAAATTCCAAAAAAATATTTGATTTGTTTAGTGGAACCATCGTCAGCATTTGAATGTCTTCCACCGGCATGCACATTGGAGGGACCACCAGTGTGTGACACAAAAGGGGTTCTACATGAGTAAGTGATGTTTGTAGTTAGTATTAGGTTGTCCGGAAAGTCTCAGCGTTTTGTGTTACTATTTTTGTACATTCATTGCTGATTAAAAACTCATTCTCCCTTGCGTCTCAGTAGTACATCCTGAAGAGAATTTCTTGCGCTATCTGATGGTATAATTGCCGTTTCACCATTGCTTGATAAACCCCCTTTTCAAACTTTTTGAAGCATGTCAAAAGAGCAACTTCGGACAAATTGTGTCAATCCGCAGTCAAGACAGCTCGACAAATTAACCAGGTGTGGGGCCAGTATAGTGTTGGAGAAAGCACCGTGCGACAATGGTTCAACAAATTTCGTTCTGGAGATTTCAGCCTTGAAGATGAACCTCGTAGCGGTCGACCTAAAGCAATACCTGACGAGGATTTGAAGGTTTGTGGAGGCTGACCATCCCAAACAGTTCGAGAGATTGCAGAAAAGCTAGGCGTTGGCAAATCCACTGTTGCGGATGGTCTGAAATTGGGAAGGTGAAAAAACTCGACAAGTGGGTGCCCCACAATTTGAGTGACCGGCAGAAACTGGCACGTCTCGAGGTTTCCTCTTCACTGCTTTGCGCAACAGAAACGACCCGTTTTTGGACCGAATTGTCACCTGTGATGAAAAGTGGATCATGTATGATAACAGGAGACGTTCCGGACAGTGGTTGGATGCCGGCGGACCCCTGAGGCAATTTCCAAAGCCAAATCGTAACGAAAAAAAGATTATGGTCACAGGGTCATTCCCTGGTGGATCCACTATGACTTTTTGTCACCAGGCCAAACCATCACAGCAGAGTCCTGCTGTGAAGAAATCGACGAATTGTACCGAAAATTTTGTCAGATGCAGCCAACACTTATCAAAAGAAAGGGTCCGATTCTTTTGCATGACAACGCCCGCCCACACGTTTCACAAATCACTATCCATAAATTGAACGAATTGGGGGTTGAAGTTCTACCTCACCGCCATATTCTCCAGACCTTTCACCAACCGACTATCACCTTTTCAAACATTTTCAGAACTTCCTTGCTGGAAAATACTTCATCAATTAGGACCAGGCAAAAAAGCCTTCGTGGATTTCGTGGATTCTCGACCACCCAGTTTTTTCTGTGCTTATTTCGATTAAATCCGACAGGTATTAAGAATTTTGTGATCGTTCAAAGTTAAACACTCAAAACGCTGAGAACTTTCCGGATAAAAGGATAAAGGATAAAGTCTTCGCCGTTGATCAATCCCTTTGTGGGATGCGGCACGCATTCTACTTCCATTCAGAATCGTAGTGGCTTATTGAATGCGATGTGGCCTATACAATGACTTGCGGTGGCCAGCCGATGTACAAGTCAGTGTTTTATCCTCCCAGACGAATCTGGTACCAATTTACCGTCCCCGGAGGGTAGAAGGCTTGGTTGGCCTGGGCGGGAGTCGACCCGGGATTCGAACCCGGCGCCGCGCGAGTGGTAAGCGCGCCACTTGTCACTACACCACCTCTCGAGAACTTTCCGGACAACCTAATATTTCTTATTTGCAGGATCTAGATAGCGCTAGAGATGAAAGTTTGCTATCTCGTTCCGCTTTCTCACGGAAACCTTATAGAAAAAATTCTTTCGCTGGTTCACCCAGGGCGGCGCTCAGGATAAGTTCTAGAGAGCCTTTTGATGAGCCCATACCATTTGAGGTCTCATAGTTACTGCATTCCTGGGCTAGTAGCTGAAAGTAATCAGCGAGTGAAGTCTGAGAACAAGTAGCCCATCCCACATCACTGTGACGGGAGGGGGCGTGTCCACGGACATAGTTGCGAACACGACGGCGGCTGCGTCTTTGCGTATAGTTGCCGGTTCAGGCAAAGGTGTAGACATCTCTGTGTAAAAGAGAGCGCATGCGGTACAAGAGAATGTACAAGGAACCTTGATTTCTCTCTGGTCGGACCAGTAACTGTCTACAGATATGCAGCAGTCCTTCGCTTACACTTAGTCCATAGACACGCCCTTTCCAGCGGCGTGATACGAAGCATAACCACTTGATTACATTCAGGAACATCTGCCTTTTCATTCATGCACGATGTCTTGCTGCTCGAGCTGGAGTGACGTTATCGACCCAGGCAGAGGAAAACTGCCTCAAATCGAGGTGCAATGAGGTTAGTCAATGAGTACCATGCTGAAGTCAAAATCTACGAAGCTCTAGAAATTTGTTGAAGATTTGTTCAACAGACGAGAAGCCGGTATGCGGCAGCAACTTTGTCACCTATAGAAACCTTTGTCAGTTCAACAAGGACCGGTGCAAGGATGATTCACTTTCGCTGCTGTTCCACGGTAAGACAGTGCAGTCCTTTTTATTTACGCACTTTAATTATAGTAAAAAAAACAACGTGATTGCGAAAGAAACGTTCCGCTATTGCCTGATAGGTAGTATGTCTCCCCCGTACTACTGAAATTATGGTACTGGTACATAATCGGGATGTTTAAAGTAGCTGTGTCGGTTCCATCCCTGATGACTCTGATGGGGTTCACAGAAAGACGATCCAGACTAACAGCAATCCTTCTCAAGGTCTGCGATTGCAGAGATTGTATCACATTTGTGGCTCAAAGTGAGTGAGGAACGAGCTATAGCCGTCACTTGCGACGACAACTCCACCCATTACTTGGCGGTCTTTTCAAGGATTTACGAACAACTAGAAACTCAATCCTTTAATTGCGTCAGCTTTCTGATTTTCTCTGCTCCATTTATCTAATTCTATGACCACTGTGACCTGTGCATGACAAACGATTCATCCACCTCCGAGCCCCCTCCTCCCCCCTTCAAAAGTCCGTGGCTCGTCACATACCCATGCACGCAAAAAGGACTGCTTGAAGAGAGTCTTCAATGCTTTGGCGGCAGCTGTCCTCTTCTGTCTGCTTTACAAGTTTTCGTAACAGGACTGTGCAGAGGAGTGAAAGTTGTCACGTAACCCTTCCCAAATGAGTAGGACTATTTCACGCTACCGCCTCTTTTCTTTCTCTGGTATCTCATGCGCACTTGCAGTGTCTCTTCACCTCTCACCCAGGGTCGAGGATCAGCTGAAGAAAGGAGACCTTTATTCAAAGAGCATAATTCAGTGTTAGAAACTTTCTCAAGTAAAAACCTTGTTGGCATGGAAGAATATTATCAGATTCACGACAATGCCGATGTTACACGAAAAGAGAAGCTGGAGACTTATCTAAAGCATTTATGACGGATTCGTCTGTTTTTTGCTCATTGGTGAGCCAATTAGGATTCCGTAGACCCGTGCGGAAGCATACCCACTCTTGCAATCGCGGTGTGCCTTCGCTATTGCTCCCCGATACAATCCTTCCATATGCGGAAATACCCTCGTCATCCGGGCAGTTGATTAGGGCGGTCGTCAACGGGCCGCAGACGCGGCTGCAGCAGCGACCGCGTGCGTAGGAACTATTTGCTTTTTCCGGCCTAATTTAGTCATTTTTCCCTACTTTTCACTGTTTTGGCTGCTTTTTCCAAGATTAGCAGTTCCTTGTCTTCACAAGGTAAATTATAATTGGAATTTTTATAACTTTGCGAACAATTAAACGATTAAACAAACAATTAGACAAATGCCTAAAGAAAATCGCGAAAAACACATCATTACGAGAGAAAATGAAAGAATCCGCGGGTTAATACACTTCATAAAGACAATAACGTAAATTACCCCGAAAAAAAATAGGAAATGCAGTGAAAATTAGGAAAAAAAATTGCAAAATTAGGGTGGAAACAGCTGATCGCACGTCGTGACGCGTTGCAGCCGCGTCGCGACACCTGGGGCAGGCTAATCAACTGCCCGGATGACGACGATACAATCATGTATTTATCCTATAGATTGAAAACGAACAGTGCGAACATTTTTATAACCCTCGAAAGTCCATAGTTTCGCTGTGGACTAAACCACTTTCAGTTCTCAGAGGGAAAGGTGGTGTAGTGTCCTACGCAACATAATTATATCTAGACATAATCTGCTTAATCGAGTTTCAACATCGATGACAAGATAATTCTAGTCTTATTCTTTGGGCGAACACCTGCACACCGAACCCGATAAATGACTAGATAGTCGCTTTGAAGTGGCAGCGGAGGAAAAACTTATCCATTCATCTACTACAGCAATATCACTGGCGTGGAAACGAGAGATAGGGACTGGACAGAAGATGGTCCTAAAGTGTCATACTTACCTTATAAAGAGAAAGGGGTACAGTTGGCCTACAGGATGTGCTTCTGAAAGCTCTCTATTGTCATTCGCCTGTTTATGGCTCGTGAAGGAAACTATCATTTTAATATTTTTCGTTCAGAGCAAGGAATTTAGTTCAGTGAATGAGGAAGCCTAGCAGAGCGCTGTTGAGCTCAGGGCACGTCGTGCCGTTAGTTCGTGCAAAGTACGACCTTTCTTAGGAAGTTCTTCCTCTTGTCCCACCCCCTCTCCAATCGCCCTACCATCTTGTAATTTTCCAACTTTCTATCACTTTTCCCGCTTCTTTTCATTTCTTTCCAAATACTAGTTCTTTTTTCATTGAAAAAACTGCTACCTGCCCTGGTAGCGAACTTGTACACGCTACCGTTATACTTGGTAACGACTATTGTAGAGCATACCCTCCTCATTGGGCAGCGCAACATAAGAACTACTTTTTCCACTGAGTTCTTTTCCAATAATTCCCCATTTTTAGGGAAGTGCCAGGAATGCTTAGCATCGCCATGTCCTCCACCTCCTCTGAACGCCACTGATGAGTTTTTCGTGTGCGACGAAGATGGCTCTTCTCGTACCGTTTGTGAATTCCAAATGCTCAGCTGTATTGTGGAAAGAAGTGTCGGCGTAAACATGAGCATTCAACATGTAATAATTTAATTATTTTTGCGGAATTGAAGATTCATTGCACCGCAATCCATATCACGATGTTGAAGGGGGATTGCCCACGAACTTGGTTGTGAGCGCGGCGGCGGCTGGGTATCTGTGGAAATTTAGAGGGGGATGGTGTGATAAAGGCACTGTGAATGTGCTGTCCGCGCTCCCCTTATCTGAAGTCATTATCCCTGCAAACGAGTGGGCGTGTGAAGAGATGTGGATTGGAGCGCAGCCAGGGTAAGTTTTCCCACCAACTGTTGAGGGCCAAGAATGGCATCACTTGCGGAGAAGGCCGCCCTTGCTGCACTCCACTGCACGCCCCTCGCACATCCTGTTGCGGGGATAATTAAAATACATGTACTCTGTTAACGTCACAACCTGAACCCAGTAAATGTTTACCGCACCGCCCTCACAACTGTCAAATGAGGAAGGCAAGGCGAGAATAAGCGCTGTCGAAGTCCTATAGAGGTTATTCTTGCAAAGTTCGATCCCCCTCCCCTCGCATTTTGAACCTTCGCTTTAATTTAGGTTTACAAGTTTCACGGCAACACCTGTGAACTCTTGTGAAATTGGAGCAAGCTCGTTGAGTCCACACTGGTAAACGTACTTGTGTGATATTTCAGTGCTTTACAATCAGGACATAGCATCGTGATGTGTGAAATAGTGGTGTCAATAGGACCCTCACCCCTGGAAGAGGGTCTCTGCACGATCCCCCCTCCCCTTTCCCAACACCTAGCTGCCACTTTCCTACATGTTTCCCAGTTTCGTACCAGTTTTTTTTCGGAATTTCCCAGAAATTTGCTACTTTCTCCCCAAAAATTTTCTCTTGAGAGGGGTTATATAGCCACTGTGAAACGGGAAAAACCGCGAAAAGTCAACAAACGGGAAAAAAATTTTTCCCAACGCGGCAAATTCTCTCAAAGGCGCATACGACCCCGCTCTTCCCAACAACCACCCAATACGACCCCTCCTCTCCAGCGGGCAAGTACGACCGCTCATGTGCTTCGCACAACGATGCTGTGCCCTGCTTACAATAGTTGACGATTACTTTTTACAAGAGTTGGCTGGTGGTGGTGGCTCCACACATTGACGGGAAGTGGCAAAAAAGCAAATCACTAGCCGGCCGACGACTAAGATGTTCACTTTGTCCGCATGCATAGTTGTTTTGTAATCTGTTGTTTTGAAAGACACCTTCTGCGCTTCTATTGGTTTGCTTCGTAGCTGGTCAAAAAATCAAAAAAAAATAAAAACAGCGAAGTTGTTTACGAGAGTAAGGAGGTCCAAAGGCTTGTACGCTTCCGCAGCTGCGGACGCATTTACATCGTACATGGCAACGACCGGGACCTGTGGAGATGAGTATACATATAATATACAGGGGGGGGGGCAAAAAAAAAGTCACTTTGCTTCATTGACTTTCGAGGCGCTATAAGTTACACTTTATAAATTCTGATCGGACATTTCTACCACCATATTAAAGAGCATATTAAATACTATTATGACACTCCGCCACAGCCTTCTGGAGGAGCGCCATCGAGAGATTCTGGCACGCAACCGCGATGTGGTCCCTGAGATCAGCGAGATAGTCGATTTCTCCGCCACCGTAGACCACCCTATTGAACTCCGCCCGAACCGGGTAATTGAGGGGATTCAGGTCAGGTGACCTACTTGGATATTCCATCTTCTTTAGGTACTCAGCCCCCTTCCATTCCAGGTAGGCGAGAGTTTCTCCAACGCCCTTCGATTCCATGTGGTGGCACCCAATGCTGTAGCAGTACAAAGTTTCCAAGAAGGTACGGGCGACGACATGTGGGGAAGATATTCTTCTTGAGTTGGTCGATGTAACCGCCAGCGCTCAGCCTTCAGCCGGGGTCCACGAAAAAAATATTGGTCTTTCCATTCCAGGTGCGTCCGGTCCATACCATCAACCCGCGCCTTGGCGACTGCCGTGAAGATGATGTCCTAGACCGTAGCGACGTTGTCGGAGCTGCTCGATGATGGAGGTCTTCCAGATCGAGAGTACTGGTCTCCAGGTAGCTACCCATGGGTGACTCCACACTAGAAGTTTCGCAGCTGTTTGGAGGTGACATGAATTCCCAAAGGTCTTCTACAGTCAGGACTGAGAGATGCGCCTTCATATTTTGCAGTGGTACATGAAGCTGCTGGGCGCGAGACCAGCTCCTGCTTATCGAGGAACATCTTGACCCTGTATCCACGTCTTCTCTCTGGGCTGCGAAAACTTTGCTGATATGTGACTCGGTCGAAACTCGAAGTGACTTTTTTTTTTGGCCCCTCCCCTGTATCTTCAAGTGGTTCGAAGTCGCTCAGCTGCAGTTTCTCTGCAAATCCCTCTCAACGCGAGTAAAATCGGAATTCAGGACCTATGGACGATTCAATTTCTTTAGTTCATTAATTGTCTGCAAACTAACACAAAATTGTGAGGAGCTACTTCTTGCTGTATGAAATCGCGCATATCTCTAATTGCATCAGCGTATTTTTGAGCCGTTAATCTCGAATAGAAAGTCTTAAAAAAAATTATGAAGCTCTACCCATAAATCCCACCTCACCAGAAATCCTCTGGTTTAAAATAATTTTTCTGAAACTGCGACAACTTCGACAATGATGATGGATATCTATGCGCTAAATATCTGGAGTGGAGTTGAGGATATACGACATGACAATCGTAATTAGGGGTGCTATTGGGCGTGCCCAGCGATATCGCCTGCCGCATGCGACAGCGGGAGCTGCTGATGCCGTTTGGACGGGCCCATTTTGGTTGGAAGTACTATGAATTGTTGTAACAGTCATTACGTACAACCCTCTTTACTCCACTTGCACACCCCTCAACGCTAAGGCTGAGCCCGGCAGAAAGAGTGATTCCCTCCATCCAGACTCAGTCTTAGCAGAGCTTAGATGGTCGTAGTGTCCTAGGTGCCGTGCCGTTCAAACGGCATCAGCCGCAGTTGGGTAGTTCGCAACCTTTACCTTCATCAGAAGAGTGTTTAGACCAGTAGAGACCTTACGTTAAAGATGCTAGCTATTTGTCACTGCGGAACATTTTTTTCATGCTGCTGCGCCCACTGCTGCAGAATGCCCGGGCGCGA